TAACTTTAAACCGCATAAACACATTTCATTACACCAAATACACAAAATAATGTTCTTTTTAGCTGCATCATATGACCCCTTTAAAAAAAACCTTCAGAAAATAATAAGTCACAAGAGAACAAGCCAAATAATAATAATAATAATAATAATAATAATGCAATTAAAAAAAAAAAAATCACAAAATTATAAAATACTGATTAAATAAAAAAAATGAAAAACAATATTTTATAGAAATGGATTTTGTTACCTTCTGACCAAGACAAAATAAATAAATAAATAAATAAAATAATAATAATAATTTTAGGACCTTTTAAGGGAAAAAACCTTAGAAAATCATATGTCACAATGATAAGATACCAAGCCCAATAAATAAATAACGCATGAGCTCTAATGGCATGTGTTTTTTCTTCTAAGTGAATAAAATGCCACATCAGAGCTGTTTTTCTGCACTCATGACACACATCTTGTTTTCTGTGCATTAGAGACTGTAGACGCAAGAATAAAACCCAATTGCAATTAGATATGTAAATATTGCAATAACATCGCTACTCTCGGTTAGATATGCATTAATATTCATCCCCGTAGCACAAACTGTTTACACATCAAAGTATAATACATTGGTTTATGTGTTTCTATGAGAAATAGAAATAGTGGTACTTGTCTCAGCAAACACCATTAACAAAAAAGAAGCACACAAGACCGAATTCAACTTTAATCAAGTCATTATACCCTAGGAAAAAATATGGAAATGATCAAGCAACAAACCAAAACCTTTCTGTTTTGCTCATTAATAGAGTCCCATAATCATATGCCACAAACTTTCCTTTCCCTATTTTATCAAATCCCTCATCGAGGAGCTCAGGACTGTGGAGAAACCAAATTCCCTCCAAAACAGTTCAGCTTCCTGTTTCTCCACTTCCAACAGCGCTTACACAGTCCATTGAGATAAACAACCAAGTTAAAGATATTACAGCCACACAGATTCATATGAACACACACATGATGTCAGATGACTATCTGGCAGTAGTTTGTTTTGTTGAGAAACACTGCTAGTCTGTTTGACTGTGTCAGAGCCTAGAGCAATCCGCTCAACTGTGCTGGCAGCATCATCTAAACTCATTCGATAACCATCTCAGCTGAACGTCAATAAAACAACCTCAGCCTAATGACAACCAAAGGAACAAACTCCAACTTATTCCCTGGCAGCCAGTGTTGAGAAACACACAGGACATACGTAATGAAACACGTAATGCTCAACTAAATCAGGAACGAGTTTGAGAGGATCTGAGTCATCGCGGATCACGGGCTAATCATGTTCCTGCTCATGCTGAGAGCTGATTGGTTGAGTGAAGGCTGCCACATCTGCACAACAGCTCTCTTACATGCCTTACATATAAACGTGAATCTCTTCAAATACAGCTATTTGTTGCGGTGGGACACGCACTCACACTGTAAACACATACATCTAAAAACAACATGTTGAAGTGCTTTCAGGTTATACAGAAAATATGTTTTGTATAACAACAGCTTTCATTGCAAATCTATGGAAGCTCGTTTTCGCCATAAAAGGCAATTGGGACTTTTTATATTACAATTCTGAAAAAGTGTCAAAATTGCGAAATATGGAGAAAAAAAGTCAGAATTGTGAAATAAAAAAATAAATAAAAAATGATTCCGTGGCAGAAACAGGCTTCCATAATAAAAGATAACAAAAAGTTAGAATTGCAAGATGGAAACCCAGACTTATTTTCTTGCAATTGATGAGTTAATATCTACGGAGCCCCTCACAAGGCATGCAGGAAAAAAATAGTAGGCTAAATCGTGTGCACGATTTACTATTTCGTTCCCTCGATTTATAAATTGTGCGCACAATTTACTAATTCGTTCCCTCGATTTGCTTAATCGTGCACACGATTTATAAATCGAGAGAATGAAATAGTAATCGTGTGCACGTTTTAGTACATCGAGGGAACGAATTAGTAAATCGTGCGCACAATTTATAAA